GTCATGCTGGCCACATGACTCAGAAGCTATACGCTGGCTCCCTCGGCCAATAAAGTGAGATGAGCGCCGCAACCCCAGAGTCGGCCACGACTGGACCTAATGGTCAGGGGTCCCTTTACCTTTTAACACTTTGAAATGAAATCCGTCTTCCTGGCAAAGCTCAGACCCGATAAAAAGGCTAGCAAACCTTGAAGTGTCCAGGATTTCGGGATGTACCACAGCTGTTTGAGAGAGCAGACCAGCAGATGGCAGATTGGGAAAGGTTATGGAAAACAGATTTGAAATTCACGGCATGTTGTATGCTAAAAGAAAATCATATGGAAATGATGTACCAGTGGTATTTGACTCCTAGTCAGTTAGCAAAAATGTATAGAACAAGTTCAAATACCTGCTGGAAATGTAGAGAAAAAGAAGGTACCTTCTATCATATGTGGTGGTCGAGTAAGGTAATAAAAGCTTTCTGGGAGATGATATATAATGAAATGGGGAAAAAATGTTTAAAATAGCCTTTGTTAAAAATCCAGTAGCTTTCTTATTAGGATTTATACATACCGTCATCCCAAAGGAGCAGAAAATACTTTTTATGTACGGGACAACAGCCTCACGGATGCTACTAACCCAGATATGCAAAGAAGATAAAGTCCTGGCCAGAGAGGAATGGCAAACCAAGCTGATGGACTACTGAAATGGCAAAACTGACCGGGAAGTTCAGGAACCAAGAAGACAAAAACTTTTTTTAAGAGACCACTGTAAACTGAAGAAAATATTAGCAGATTTGAACCCCACTTGTAAAGTAACAAATACTATGGACAATATGGGTTGTCATAAAATATAGAATGTGGAATAATTGTTTAGTCATTTAGTCGTGTCCGACTCTTCGTGACCCCATGGACCAGAGCACGCCAGGCACTCCTGTCTTCCACTCCCTCTCGCAGTTTGGTCAAACTCATGCTGGTAGCTTCGAGAACACTGTCCAACCATCTTGTCCTCTGTCGTCCCCTTCTCCTTGTGCCCTCCATCTTTCCCAACATCAGGGTCTTTTCCAGGGAATCTTCTCTTCTCATGAGGTGGCCAAAGTATTAGAGCCTCAACTTCAGGATCTGTTCTTCCAGTGAGCACTCAGGGCTGATTTCCTGAAGAATGGATACTATGGACAATATGGGTTGACATAAAATGTGGAATAATATGCAGTTGTAAACATTGACATAGGACCCGTGGAGGGGATGGGGGGGAAGTCTCGAGATTCAGAGTAGTCTCTGTATACAGTGGTACCTCGGGTTACAGATGCTTCAGGTTACAGACTCTGCTAACCCGCAAATAGTACCTCGGGAGAAGAAGAAGAAGAAGAAGAAGAAGAAGAAGAAGAAGAAGAAGAAGAAAGAAGAAGAGGAGTTTGGATTTGATATCCCGCCTTTCACTCCCTTTAAGAAGTCTCAAAGTGGCTAACATTCTCCTTTCCCTTCCTCCCTCACAACAAACACTCTGTGAAGTGAGTGGGGCTGAGAGACTTCAAAGAAGTGTGACTGGCCCAAGGTCACCCAGCAGCTGCATGTGGAGGAGCGGAGACGCGAACCCAGTTCCCAGATTACAAGACTACCGCTCTTAACCACTACACCACACTGACTCTCCAGAACTTTGCTTCAGGATGAGAACAGAAATCGTGCTCTGGTGGCGCAGCAACAGCAGGAGACCCCATTAGCTAAAGTGGTGCTTCAGGTTAAGAACGGTTTCAAGTTAAGAACGGACCTCCAGAACGAATTAAGTTCTTAACCTGAGGTACCACTGTATATGGATATGCATTTGGAATGTTATAAATTCATATTTGTAAAAGAGAGAGGGAGAGAGAGAGAGAGAGAGAGAGAGAGAAGACCAGCAAATTGAGCTGAAGAAGGAAAGATTTGGAAAGCCAGGGACATTGCAAGAGGAATGACAAAGAGAGGGAGGAGCTGGAAAGATCTGTTTCAAATCTAGGCCATCCCCGACAATCAAGGACACCTGACACAGAGGGACAACCAGCTAAAAATGCCTTTCGTGTAACTGTCTCCTGATGTCTTGAGTCTCTGTGTGACGGCTTAGTTTAGGCTGCAGAGAGTTACACTTCCTGGTGCTTACATGCCGAAACACCCTGGCTGATTTCTTTTTTTAAAAGATGGTTTTGAGACCCAGGATCTTTCTAGAAGTCACCCCTCTGGTCAGGTGGGGGTTGGGGCAGCTGCCAGCTCAGCGCGCATCCTCAGAAGCACTCTGCGCATGCTGTTCTTTTCTGATCCTTCGGCATGTTTCCAAGTGGGGTCACCATGGCAGCAAAGTGATGGTTTCATGAGTCGGATCCAGCGGCTCCTGTGCTCAGACCGGGCCACGTCACACGGCGGGGGTGTCCCCATGCCCGACTTAATAGATTGCAGTCCCCTTATTTCAAGGGCTTTCAGATGGCACTCCGCTGTTTGAAGGGGTCTGCTATTTGAAGGGCTTTCCATCCAAGTAGGGTTTAAAGATGCAGAGCGGAGAGCAGGAGGGGAACTTGAAGTTGCCCACCAGAATGGACAGGAACACAGAAAACCCAATCGACAGTCCTCCCCCACTGTGGTGTGATGTACTGAACTTCTATTTAAATCATAGTAATAACGTCCAAATTTGGATCTGCGCATGTAAATTAGGCTTTGCAATCCTCTTGTGCAAATCTGTGCCTGCTTTTGTCGGCTTTCTTTAGTGATAAGTAACCAGCCGCTCGCTGTGGGTTAAACCACTGAGCCTTGGACTTGCCGATCAGAAGGTCGGCGGTTCGAATCCCCGCGACGGGGTGAGCTCCCGTTGCTCGGTCCCTGCTCCTGCCCACCTAGCAGTTCAAAAGCACGTCAAAGTGCAAGTAGATAAATAGGTACCGCTCCAGCGGGAAGGTAAACGGTATTTCCGTGCTGCTCTGGTTTGCCAGAAGTGGCTTAGTCATGCTGGCCACATGACCCGGAAGCTGTACGCCGGCTCCCTCGGCCAATAAAGCGAGATGAGCGCCGCAACCCCAGAGTCAGTCACAACTGGACCTAATGGTCAGGGGTCCCTTTACCTTTACCTTTAACCAGCCGCTCTATCCCACGGTCAAGGGTCTTCCTTAGAATCACAGAACTGTAGAGTTGGAAGGGACCCTGGGGGTCATCTAGTCCAACCCCGTGCAATGCAGGAATATGCAGCTGCACCATACAGGGATCGAACCTGCAACCTTGGCGTTATCAGCACCACGTTCTAACCAAGTGAGCTATCCAGGCTTTAAAGCACAAAATAGGAAATGGATGACTCTTTACTGGAGGATTGGACCCAAAGACCCATATGATCTGCAAGGGCCTTCTAGGATATTTTAATCCAACCCCCCACAATGCAGGAATATTTCACCTCATGTGGGGCTCAAACCCATGACCCTGAGATTAAGAGTCTCATGCTCTACCAACTGAGCTGTGTTTTGCTGCTGTGCCACTCACACAGAGGTGAATCTACTACGAAACTAACAAAGCTTAAGCTTCAGGGTCCCTGATCCCAGAGGAGCCCGAGAAACGACTTTCATTGCTTAAAAGCTTTGGGTCTAGTAGACCCAATTTGAGTCACACAACTCAATTTGATTCATTTTTTGTTGATTCAACAATCCCGAAGTTTGAGAGTCAGTAGCACGTACGTTGTAAAGGTGTGGTGATCTGTTGTGGAACAACCCCATTGGAGAAGATAACAGTGTGTGTTTTTTTAAAAAAAGGTAAAGGACCCCTGGATGGTTAAGTCCAGTCAAAGGTGACTATGGGGTTGCGACGCTCATCTCGCTTTCAGGCCGAGGGAGCCGGCGTTTGTCCACAGACAGCTTTCCGGGTCATGTGGCCAGCAGGACTAAACTGCTTCTGGTGCAACGGAACACCGTGACGGAAACCAGAGCGCACGGAAATGCCATTTAGCTTCCCACCGCAGCGGTACCTATTTATCTACTTGCACTGGCGTGCTTTCGAACTGCTAGGTTGGCAGGAGATGGGACTGAACAACAGGAGCTTACCCCATTACAGGGATTTGAACCCACAGCGCCACCCGCATCCCCTTTTCAAAGTGTTACGTTACTGCAAATTTCTCCTAATAAACACATTTTTAAATACAGTTTTGGGTGGGCAATGTACATGGTTTGGCAAGCAGTTCTCCTTCAGACAATGCATTTTTAACATTATTTTCACTCACGCACAGATTTTTGTAACCCTTGTTTGGTTGGAGAACTGCATCGCAAAATTCGGATGAGTGTGAATTTTGAAGGGTGTCTGTGTTTCGGTTCCCACATTGTTTCATAAAGTGCAAATTTGATTGATTTGGCTTTAAATGAGGACTGAATTCAATTTCTCCTTCATCCATAGTGACAGCCATCATTTCAGAAGAGGTCTGTTCATTCTCACACGCTTCTCCTACAATGGTGTCTGTTGCAACCCTATACATTTCTGCTCAGAAGTAAGTCCTAGTGACCTTCTGATCAGAAAGTCCTAGGCTCTGTGGTTTAACCCACAGTGCCACCCGCATCCCTGTCAGGTGTTTTTAGGTAGGCGATATTTCCAGCCCTAACTGGAGATGTCGAGAATCAAACCTGGGACTTGCTGCCAGAAGGCAGACGCTCTACCCCTGAGCTACATCCTTTCCTTCTAGCCAAGGTGCACTCCTGTCTTGTCTGGATTAACCCTCCATTTGTCAGGCTTCACACAGCCTCTTTTATTTCTTCCACCTTGCTGTGTTACATCGTCATGATATTAGCCATGCAAGTGGCTTCTACAGGGGTGGCTGGTGCAGTCTGTATCCTGCAGTTTTGCTCAGCAATGGGACCATCTCGTCGCCTGCTGTTTTGGCAGTCTTGCAGTGCCCCCTTGAGGCAGTGACAGGGCCTGATGCTCGGGACTCTGATGACACCCATTCTCCTAACCCCCTCTGTCTGACACAAGGCACACACACCCTCCCACCGCCTGCGATCGCAACCTGCCTCTGTCAATCAAAAACTTTCCTCTCGAAAGATGGCAGGACAGCGCCTGATTGTGAGCTGCTTCCTTGCAGGCAAGTTTCTGGATTTTATATGGGAGCATACAGGAATCTGCTGTGGACCAGAGGGTGTCTCTGTGTTTGTGGTGCCTTTATATTTAGGATCCACTTATAGGAATTGGAATGGGAATGCCATAGGACCTGTTTTAAGACAGGATGAGTAGCCAGTAGGAAGAGATGTTGGTCAGACCACTGTATCAAAAGCTATTTCAAACTTTTTTTTTTTAAAGAAGAGTTCCACTCTGGTCAAGAAAGAAGTAGCCACATGTATGTTTTTCATCCTGCGGTGTGTCTTTCGGTACAATTTTTAGCAGGACCTGTGTGCCTAAAATTCTTGGGGACCAGGAAGTTTGCCTGCTTTTTCTTGCTGCCTCTCTTTTGCAACACCTTCTAATTTTAGTCTCAGGCTGCAGCCCTTTCGTTCGCCGCTTGGCGCAGAGACAGCTGTTGCCATATTTGTGAGGGAGAGCAGGGGATCATGCCACAGCAGTGGCAAAATCTTTTAAAAATGCTTTTGGTTGCATTTCAAAACAATGCTCTTTGCAGCAGCAGCAGCTGGCACACCAACGTTGACTAAGGAGCCAGGAATGGAAACAAAACAAAACAAAACAAAACAAAACAAAACAAAACAAAACAAAACTGAGGAGTACAGTGGTACCTCGGGTTAAGGACTTAATTCGTTCTGGAGGTCCGTTCTTAACCTGAAACTGTTCTTAACCTGAAGCACCACTTTAGCTAATGGGGCCTCCTGCTGCTGCCAACCGCGCGATTTCTGTTCTCATCCTGAAGCAAAGTTCTTAACCCGAGGTATTATTTCTGGGTTAGCGGAGTCTGTAACCTGAAGCGTATGTAACCTGAAGCGTATGTAACCCGAGGTACCACTGTAATGTGGTTTCACAATCCTGCTAAAGAATGCACATTAATCGCACATGTGGCGTTTCTCATAACCAAGTGGGTAACTTTAGCAGAATCTACTGGTACGTGTGGGATCTTTCCATAGTGTAACATGTGTCACAGAGGTAGATACTTGAGAAAAGGGCTTAAAAAGGGGGAACCAAGGAGAACTACTTGAAAATGATTTACAGATTGCATTTAACTCCGAGTAGGCTTGCTAAGTTGTGTAAGACTGAATCAGGTAAGTCCTGGAGATGCAAAGAAAAGAGGTTGAAGGAAAGTTTTTTCATATGTGGTGGACTTGTAAAAGGGTAAAAGAGTATTGGGAAATGATACATAATAGATTGGGGGGAAATGTTCAAAAGTGCTTCCCCCCCAAAAAACCCCAGAGTCCTTTCTGTTGGGGATAATTCAGACTGAAATTCCCAGGTGTCAAAAATGGTTCTTTATGTATGCCACTACTGCAGCCCATGTTTTGTTAGCCCAAAATAGAAAACAAGTGAGGTCCCAACCAAAGAAGAAAGGCAACTTAAGTTGACAGAATATGCACATCTCACAGAGTTGACATATAGAAGAAGAACATATGTTTAGGGAAGATTGGAAAACGTTTATGGAATATATGAGAAATAACTGTGTACAGCTGAAAATGTTGGCAGCATTAAGATAAATTCAAGAGTGTAAATAAATTATGATGGAAGTAATAACGGAATACAGTGGTACCTCGGGTTACAGACGCTTCAGGTTACAGACACTTCAGGTTACAGACTCCGCTAACCCAGAAATAGTACCTTGGGTTAAGAACTTTGCTTCAGGATGAGAACAGAAATCGTGCTCCAGCGACACGGCGGCAGCAGGAGGCCCCATTAGCTAAAGTGGTGCTTCAGGTTAAGAACAGTTTCAGGTTAAGTACGGACCTCTGGAATGAATTAAGTTCTTAACCCGAGGTACCACTGTACTGAATGGTATAGTTTTTGTAAAATATGCAGGGATTTATGATATGCAAAATGAACCATGGAAAGAGAAGAAGGGAAGTCATTGATATCTTAAGGCTGTAAAAATGAGTACTTTAAAGTATAAAACATATATATCTATATCTATCTATCTGTCTGTCTATCTATTTATCTATGAATGAACCAAGATATATCAAACTTGTTGTGCCTGACAAGACCCTGAACTACCCTGCTGCATTGTGTGAGGTGTGGTGGCAAGATATGAATGTTATTAAATCAGACTGCAAATGAGCTTTGCTCTTGCAAGGAAGTGACAATTTCTCTCCAGGGACAATACTGTAAAAGAAAAGGAAAAACCTGTTGTCTTGGGTATAAAAGAAGCAAGCGGTAAGAAAAATCTATAGCCTTAGCAACATTTAGATGTCCCGACCCTATTAAGGCCAGGAAGAAGAAAAAGGAAACAGCCATCATTCGAACGGCAGAACCAGTGAACAAAGCACATGAGGTGAAGAATGAATCAAGCAAAGGCCAATTTGGTTTGACACATGTGCAGTTTGAAAGCTTGCTCCCTGCTTTATTTTATTTTAGGGATTTCTGTCTTGCCCTGCAAAAGGCTCCCAAGGCAGCTTACGAAAAGTTAAAATAACGGGGAAATTAAAACAACTTGCAAACGCTACAGTATAATGGTATAAAGGCAGTTGGCGGAAATGAAAAGCAAGCACAGCACAATAATGTCAATTTACAGAGGACTGAGAAACCATTTGCCCGGCGAAGAAGCATTCTGGGCATTACGAGCTCAGCCAAGTCACGTTCCAAAGTGGATAATGTTAAGTTGTGGGTGAACATATCAGACGACACAGCGATTCTTCAAACAGCTCTTGTTTATTCAAAGGCCAGAACAGAACTGAACTAAAGAGCTCAGTCAGCCTGCTTATATAGAACTCCAGAACAACGTAACTGTAGCAACTTTCTAAAACTATCCAATCACTGAACGTCACTTTCGATCCTTCATTTGCATACAAACTATCCAATCACTGAACGTCACTTTCGATCCTTCATTTGCATAACTATCTACAGTATCCCCCTGCTGGCCCAGGGTGAGAACTTCAGCACATAACAGATAATAACCAACTTCGACGACTCTTTCGGTAGAGTGTGCAGGCTTGCCAGCGATGCTAAGCTCTGTCTTGGGCTGTGCAAAAATCCTCAGCTTGCTGAAAAGCAAAAGGCAGTGGAGAACATTGAGAGTTTGTCTTTTGTGTCATACGAATCTGGATTCTGGATCTAATCCTGTGTCTTCTTTGCTCTGTCCTAGGGCTCCTCTTCAGCCGGGGTCTGGCTATCAGCCTCCCTGTCCTCAATCTCTATGCTGTGGTTGGGGAGATCTTTGTCCACGAGTTTGAAATAGACGACTTTAAGGATGCCTTTCCCTCCTCCATGGACGAAAATGGTAAGGGACCAGGAGCGGTTTCCTTTCAATCCATCCCAGGCACAGTTAATTAGCTAGTTGCCTTTCTACAGATACGGTTTTGTCTACATAACGGCATGTGTCTGTGTACCTAGATCTATATATATTGCTATGATTAACAAAACAAATTATTATTATTATTATTATTATTATTATTATTATTATTATTATTCTTGGAGCCAGCTGCTCTGCTTTGTCAATCACAGTAGTATATTATTTCAGCTGAATCCTAAGAGGGATCTGCAGCAAGCTTGTGTGAAGTGCTCTTTGATGCCAAGACTACAAAAGGACAGGTCCCTGCCCCGGGAGCTTACAATCTAAAATGTTCGGTTTCCGAACGCTGGAAGCCTGGAAGTAAACGCTTCCGTTTTCAAACGTGCCTTGGAAGTCAAACGGCTTCCGCTGTGTGTTTTTCAGTTTTCTCAATTGAACTTGCACCCAGCCTTTTGCAACTCGGTTTTCGAATGTATCGGAAGTCGAACGGTCTTCCGGAACGGATTACGTTTGAGAACCGAGGTACCACTGTGTTGTTGTTGTTGGTCCTGCCTCCATAGAGATCAACCCTAAACACTGTAGCCTAGGTGTTTCAAGGACCAAGCTGCAGGATAGCATCTCCATCTCCCAGGGAGGGCAGAAGAAGCACAACATTAGCTCAATTTGGGTCTGAAATCTTACAGAGCCGCCTGAGGCCCCTGTCACTTTCCACACCAATCTCCTGGATCACCCAGATTTGCCCCGCTGGCTGCGCTACATTCAACGGACCCCCTACCAGACGGGCTATCTCTACGGGTCCCCCACAAGCAAAGAACTCGGCAAGCAAACAATTGAGGTGCGTGCATGTTTTATAATTCCCTGACGGACAGGGGGGTGGTCATCTATTTTGCTCAAGACTCACCTGAGAGCGTCCTGGGCAGAACCCCAGGTCAAGGTTGAGTCTGAAGACATGCCCACATCCTATAGCTAAAGCATATTTATAACACATGCCCCCCACTCAAAAAACACACACCACACAATGGGAATGGTAGTTTGCCCGTCACAGAACTACAATCCCTAGCACTCTTAACAAGCTACAGCTCCCAAGATTTTTTTTTGGGGGGGGGGAGAATCTTGACGTCAAACACGTGCACCACACGCCACTGCCACCGCCGAATCTTGGGGGCAACCTGGTGGCATGGATTCGGCCGCTGCAACTGCATCTCTGCCCCAGCAGGATGGCACCAGCAGCGGGACACTGATGTAGAGCACGTCCCTATTTTCATCTGAGGAATATTGGAGGGTATGGCTAAAACCCATGACTAGAAATCACTGGCAAATGTAAGTGTTGACAAGCACTTAAGTTGATCTGCACTGAAATTCAAACCAAATTAACCCCTGTTCCTCCTCCCCCCCACAATGGACACAGACACATTTTGAAGCCGCTGTCGAGCCCCTTGTCAGCTTAGGGCCGATCCAGGGAGCGGCACTGCCAGGGCCGGATTTAGGTTTGATGAGGCCCTAAGCTACTGAAGGTAACGGGGCCCTTTATATGCCCAGCTGTCCTTTGTCAACAATAAATGGTCACTGTTTTTTATGTTGAATATATGCTGTATGGTAATTTATGGACCTCGTAGGTACCTAAAACTATTCACACATGTTGCCATGCAACCAGTCCATGCAGAATGTAAAGGGGTAAAGGGACCCCTGACCATTAGGTCCAGTTGTGGCCGACTCTAGGGTTGCGGCGCTCATCTCACTTTATTGGCTGAGGGAGTCGGCATACAGCTTCTGGGTCATGTGGCCAGCATGATTAAGCCGCTTCTGGGAAACCAGAGCAGCGCACGGAAACGCCGTTTACCTTCCCACTGGAGCGGTACCTATTTATCTACTTGCACTTTAATGTGCTTTCGAACTGCTAGGTTGGCAGGAGCAGGGACCAAGCAACGGGAGCTCACCCAGTCACAGGGATTCAAACCGCCGACCTTCTGATCGGCAAGTCCTAGGCTCTGTGGTTTAACCCACAGCGCCACCCGCATCCCAATAACAAACTTAGTTGGTCTCTAAGGTGCTACTGGAAGGAATTTTTTTATTTTCTTTTGACTACGGCAGACCAACCATGCTACCTACCTGTAACCAGATATCTCCAGTACCAGCTCTGAAGAGCCAGCTCCACTCAGACACAGGATATGATTGCCTTGCGTCCAGCTTTTGTGGTAGCCATCGGCCCAGAAACTATTTATTTGCTGTTGTTATCCTTTTTTGAAACCTGCTTTTTTCTTTTCTTTGAAGGGTGAGATACAACGGGGTGTGTGTGCCATACCCTCCAACATTTCTCCAATGAAAATAGGGGTGTCCTAAGGAAAAGCGGGACATTCTGGGATCAGATTAGAAGCTGGGACGGTTTCTGTATATCTGGGACTCTCCCTGGAAAATAGGGACATTTGGAAGGTCCGGTGTGTTTGGGCATGTGTTTTAAAGAAAAATTAAATTAACCCCCCAAGTCTCCTTCTCTTATTTGTGACAGGTGAAGGCATATAACAGATATACTTATGAGACTGCGAGGCAAACCATGATCATCACAATTGCCCCATCTTCAGGTAATTCCCCCTCCTCTATGAAGTATATGGGGCAAATTCAACCTGTATCTCCATACGATTGACTTTGGTGGGGATACTGGATCTTGGCTGTTCTTAAATTTGGTGCAGATCCTCACTGCCTGGACTCCCATGAAAGGCCTTTGTTGGGTTTTTGGGGGAAGGTGGGTGAGCAGATGTCGACCCGAGGCAGGAAAGTTGGAGAAGACTTCCAAATCCATCTAGGCCCAATGTATATATATGCATTATTTGGGCTTATTGATGCCAGTGATGGCTTGGCCCTCTCCTGGGCCAGTGATGAGGAATCGAATCTAGCTGTGTGTGTATATATACCGGTATATATTTCTGTTTTACACTTTAGAATACTCATTTAAACAACCATAAAATGTCAATGACTTCCCTTCTTCTCTTTCCATGGTTCATTTTGCATAACATAAATCCCTGCATATTTTACATAAACTAAACCATTCAGTATTCCATTATTACATCCGACAAAACTTATTTACACTGTTGAATTTATCTTACTGCTGCCAACATTTACAAGTGTACACAATTCCCCCCATATATTCAAGAAACATTTTCCAATCTTCCTTAAATGTATGTTCTGCTTGTTCTCTTATTCTATAAGTTAGATCTGCAAGACGAGCATATTCCATCAGTTTAAGTTGCCATTCTTCTTTAGTTGGGACCTCGCTCGTTTTCCATTTTGGGGCTAACAAAATACGGGCTGCAGCTGTGGCATACATAAATAACCTTTTTTGACACCTGGGTATTTCCATCTAAATTATCCCCAACAAAAAGGACTCAGGTTTTTTTGGAAAAGTACTTCTAAGCACTTTTTTTCAATTCATTGTGGATTATTTCCCAGTACTCCTTTTACGGGTCCAAGAATCTAGCTGTGTTTTTACCTGCCCACAGCTCAAATGTGAAACCCTCATGAGGCAAATGTGAGGGGTCCCCTCCACCCTAGACCTTTTGCCCTTAAACATGTATCTGGGTAGATCAACATCATATATTTAAAGCACATCCATTTAAAGTGGTCTTCCACTGAGCTATGTCCCTTCCCCATTGCATAATCCTAGAACGGTACAGTTGGAAGTTACCATAATGAGAGTCATCTAGTCCAATGCAGGAATCATTTGCCCAATGTGGGGCTCGAACCGGCGACCCTAATATTTAAAGTCTCATGCTCTACCGACTGAGCTATCCAATCTCCCCCCTGTGCTGGTTTACTCAGGAATAATAAGCCTCGCCGTGTTCCGTAGCTCTTTCTCTCTCTAGTAAACGAGCTCAGGATTATCGCTCTGCAAGTATGTGTCAAATGACGCGTCAGGCTTTGGAGCAATTATGAAAGGAACTGGAAGGGAAACAGCAGGCATCGCAATGCCTTTCTGCCAGGTGGCTGCAGTGTGGCTTCAAATAGAATATCATCTCCCTGTCTTGAAAGGATGTAATAACGCTAGGGGGAAATGATCAAAGAGCTGGAGCGCTTTTGCCTGCAAGCAAAGGCTAAATTGAAGCTTTTAAGCTTAGCATAAAGGACAGCAAAAGAGCATGATAGAGTTTTATCAGTTTTTGAGCAGTATGGGGAAAGTGGCTTGAGAGAGCCCTCCCTTCCCTTTCTTAGAATTGCAGAGTTGAAAGAAGACCGTCTACTTCAACCCCCTGCAATGGCAGATGTCCCATACAGGTTTCGAACCTGCAACCTTGGCGTTATCAGCACCTCGCTCTAACCAACTGAGCGGTCTAGGCTCACAATCCACAGATTTGATTGGCTGCGGGGAGTCAGCTGATACATGGGATCATGGGCTTAGACCCTAAATAGAAGGGACAGTTTGTGGGAGTCCAGGAACAAACAGAGCAGAACAGAGAAAAAGAGGTGTTTCTTTACATGAATGGTAGACAGTACCACTCCAATACACATTTTCCAAACTTCCTTAAATGTATGTTCTTCTTGTTCTCTTATTCTATAAGTTAGATCTGCAAGAAGAAGTTGCCATTCTTCTTGAGTTGGGACCTCGCTCGTTTTCCATTTTTGGGCTAACAAAATACGGGCTGCAGCTGTGGCATACAGAAATAACCTTTTTTGACACCTGGGAATTTCCATCCAAACTATCCCCAACAAGAAGGTGCGCTGTGGAGCCTAGTCTGCTCTGTTGGTTAGAGCATCATCATCATCATTATCATCATCATCATTTTATTTGTACGCCACCTTTCCATAGTTAAAACAGTGCTCAAGTCGGCTTACAACATGACAAGATTTACATAATTACCAACATAACAAAAGTCATAAACAATAAATAAAACACATCAAAAAGTACACAACCAAAGGGAAAACAATTTCCACATAAATCATACAATCAAAGACTAAAAATACAGCATTAATATCAATCACAATTTAAAATGACATGTTGTTGTTTAGTCATTTAGTCGTGTCTGACTCTTCATGACCCCATGGACCAGAGCACGCCAGGCACTCCTGTCTTCCACTGCCTCCTGCAGTTTGGTCAAACTTATGCTGGTAGCTTCGAGAACACTGTCCAACCAACTCGTCCTCTGTCGTCCCCTTCTCCTTGTGCCCTCCATCTTTCCCAACATCAGGGTCTTTTCCAGGGAGTCTTCTCTTCTCATGAGGTGGCCAAAGTATTGGAGTCTCAGCTTCACGATCTGTCCTTCCAGTGAGCACTCAGGGCTGATTTCCTTCAGAATGGATAGGTCTGATCTTCTTGCAGTCCATGGGACTCTCAAGAGTCTCCTCCAGCACCATGATTCAAAAGAATCAATTCTTCAGCGATCAGCCTTCTTTATGGTCCAGCTCTCACTTCCATACATCAAATGGCACACATCAAAATGACAGATAAAAAATAAAAGCAATTAAAAACAAAAATGGAGGCCTCTCTGCCCAGCAGCAGCAGCAGCAGCAGCAGCAGTCCTTTATGGAGCCTGTCAGGCCCCGCCCCAAGCCAGGGAGCAGGGCAGGGCCCTTCAGGCTCCCATCAGGTCAGTCCTGCAGCACAGTGCTGATAACTCTCAAGGTTGCAGGTTCGATCCCCGTATGCGGCAGCTGGATGAGGGCAGACAGAGGTGGGCTGGGCAGATGGACCAGGACTTTTTGTGGTGGGAAGTAATGTGTATATCCCCTAACCCTAACTCTGAACTCTTTCTGTAGATGGAGAAATGCCATACCAGGCTGACTTCCTGGTGAAGAACTGGGACGTGGAGGAAGTGCTGCCAGCAGATATCCAGGATCTTTTCCAGCAAGCTGTGGACAGCATGTGGGAACAAGATGGCCTGACCGTCGTCAATATTACCTCAGCGTTGGACAGGGGAGGCCGGGTACCTTTGCCCATTGAAAACCGGAAGGAAGGGTAAGAGGAGTGGAGTCTCTCACAGGCTGTAGAAATGGTCCCAAATACAGTGGTACCTCGGGTTAAGTACTTAATTTGTTCCGGAGGTCCGTTCTTAACCTGAAACTGTTCTTAACCTGAAGCACCACTTTAGCTAATGGGGCCTCCCGCTGCCACTGCGCTGCCGGCGCAATTTCGGTTCACATCCTGAAGCAAAGTTCTTAACCTGAAGCACTATTTCTGGGTTGGCGGAGTGTGTAACCTGAAGCGTATGTAACCTGAGGCGTATGTAACCTGAGGTACCACTGTACTGGAAAAGCTGCCTCCTTTCCTACAGAATCTCCTCAGATTCTGCCAGGGAATGGTCTGAAGCAGAGGGATGGGGGATGCATTCCCAGCAGAGCAGCTTCTCTCAGAAAAGGAGCTGGAGGGGGAAGATTCGCCCTCCCCCCTTGCCTACAGTTGTCTCAGAAGCCGAGACAGACACAGAGCGGTTTAGGCAGGAGTTACCTAGCTGCGAGATAATGGCACAGGGAACAGAAGGGAGGGGACAGATAGCAGAGACATCATTAGAAAGCATGGGGGACACTCCCTCCCCACAAACTTGGAGATCCAAATGTATTAGAGAACAAAGGTTGCAGAGAGAAGGAGGGACCTCCCGTTGGTGCCTATTATCTTGCGGAAGGGGGAAGGGGCAAAAGTTAGAGAAGCCAACTGCTCTCCTTGGGGAGGGATGTGGA